AACCTTGCTTTCTATCAACAATGTTTATATTATTTTGTGAGCCGAGTGAACACTTAACATTGCAAACTGAAAATGCGTGAAATAACGAACGATAAACCAGCCGGCATCCCGTCTAGGAGGACGTTTAGCGTGATTTTCTGTCAAGCTACTTAAATTGCGCTTTCTTGCTGAGTCAGTTAGGTTTCGAGTAGTTAAACTACATTGAAAAAAAAAGGCAGTAACAGTGTATCAGGAAAACTACTCACAGTTTGATTTTTGTTGGTTTGATATTGATAAAACAGCAAGCCATCAGAGCTGTAGTTTAGCTTGTAGCTTTTCACCCACTGGTCACTGTTTGGTCTTCCTTGTGTCGCCACACGTCTTATTTCAACTCGTTGAGCAAATTTTACTTGGAGCCACTGGTTTTGATCTTGATTTCTCGCAAGCCAAGCTCCATGATGGTGATTTGAAACAGCTTGCAAGTATAATCTGCAAGAGATACTCAAAAGTATAAAAGGTATTGTTAAAATTTGCGCCAATGAAAGATCGCTCGGACTGAATTGTCATTTGAAATTTTAAAAAGTTTTGTGTGCGCGCGCATCATTTTTTCAACAATTTCAACTTTTTTTTTAAGTCAAGGAACCCTTAATGTCCTTCTTTTAGTCTTCTCCGGAATTGAATTATCCATTTGCGTCAAAACGTTGGTTCCAAACGTTTGAAAACCGAAAAGAACATCTCCATTTCGAAAACGACCTCCAGTCATTGAACAGTAATGGCTGATAGTGAACGATCACTCAGCCAATCAGATTGCAGCATTTAAATTAGTGTTTAAGTAGAATTCTACTAATACTGAACACACGCACATCAATATGGAATCTACTTGTTAAATAATTGCACCGAGAAAAATATTTCGAACCAATCGTGAGTTTGGGACGGGTGTGGTATAAAACGCTTTCTGGTTACTTGTTGTAAGAGGCTGAGAAGGACGTTCAGTACAAAAATCAATTTCATAAAGTTATAACATGTCATCATTATTTAGCACGATCCAAACCTGGAGAAATGTGGCTTAGTGCCAGAGCCCCAAAATGTGGAAGCCGTGATGGCAGAGTCTGGTATTTTCCCAGTTTCCATTCCAAGACTTTCCGTGCACAC